AAGCATTAATAGGACTGGCTAAATTTATATTTGTTAGTTCATTAATCAAATCAATCTCCCTATATATTATTCTCATTATGCACTTAAATTCTTTTCTGGTGTCCTCCCTTCCCCCTGCCATGCACTTTCAAATTTCCCCTCTCTACATCCTTGTTTCATTGCATACTAATATACTTCTTGTGTCAGATTAAGGGTTTTGCCTTTGGGAATTCTAAATTTATGTTTGTGCTAGTTAACTAATTGAATTCAACGATCCAAAATCTTCCCTCAATTTCCATTTATCGTCTCATACCTACTTTCTTTCTTCCTTTCATTCTTTCCCCTTATATAACATCTCAAATATCTCTTTTTTTCCTGGTATATAATTATGATGAAGAAAATTTATTATTTCTTTTTTATCTTCCTTTTGATGCCTTATTCCTAATTATTTTTATTTCTTTTTTTTTCCTTGCCTATTCTACATTATTCCTCTATCTTTAACTTTCTAGGTTAGTAAAAGAGTCAAAAGCATTTCAAAGATGGTTGATAGGTAGGTCATTGGTTCTTTAGATGTCGACATTGCTGGTAGTTGTTCTCTTCTCACAATACATTGCTAGTAATTGAATTTAGTACTGTAAATAGGTTGAATGTTTGCTTTCACTCTGTGTCACACCAAAGCCAACAATAAATATGGTGATTCCTCATAAATCAAAAATAGTAATTTTTTTGGGCCTGATTTTGGTGTATTCTTGAAACAAAGACAGCAAGTTGCAGTAACATCTGCATTTTCATGTGATAGGTGCACAATTTCCAATAGTTAAGTCCCAAAAAGTTACTCATGATCATTTCCAGATACATGGATAATGAAAATGTGAGGTGGTTAAACAAGAAACTTATTCAGCAGTGAATGAGAATAAAATCAAGTAATTTTCAGGAAAATAGATGAAACTCAAAATCAGCAGACTAAACTAAAAAAACCAGAATCAGAAAGTTAAATACACATGCTGTCTTTTATCAGAAAATCTAAAATATAGAAAATTGAATTAATAAAGAAAAGGAAACTGAAAATTGGACAATAGATATTGTAGATGAGGAAAGAATTGGATAAGGAAGGAAAAGACATTTAAAACTATTATAAGTAATCAACATATATTATATGCATTTTCTTAGTTACTTTTTTGTTATTGTTCAAACATAATATCCAAAATCCAAACTTAAAGATGAAAAAGTTTATTTCATTCACAGTTTGATAAAAGTTTCAATGTGTAATTAGCTAGCTCCAAAAGCAGGATGCCATACATAAGATCACCATTTTATGGTGACAGTAGACAGAAAAAGATGGGTGATCTGTGACAAGATTCTTTCTACCCTTTATATTGCATGCAAGCTACCCATCGTAGGGTGAGTGTAACTCTCACACCCTAAATCCTAACTCCACCAAACCAATTAGTAGACTGATTTATTAGTCACACTGTTAAACTCAGTGTCATACATTCTAGACTCAGCCATCTCAAAAGCCTTAAAACCATATGAGGTTCTGAGGGAACATCTAGACACAAAGCATAATGTTCTGTCCCTGACCTCTCAAAGACTCAGGCAAATTCCTTTATTCCATTTCTAAGAATTGCCAAAGTCCAAACAGTTTTAGTATTGTAAAAACTCCAACTCCCAATTCGCCTCCTGTATAAATGAAAAGAAAGTTAAATTCTTCCAATATTCAATAGAAAAAGGTAGACATTATATCCCAAATGTTACAAACAGGGGGATACAAAGGAATGGAACCAAAGCAAATCCAAACTCCATCAGAGCAAATATCAAATATTCAGCCCTATAGTTCCATGCACAGCATCTGATACAATCTATGGTAAGATATGAGCTCCAAAGGATTTAGGTGGCTCGCCCCTAAGGCACTTCCAGCGATGCTGCTCTTATGGCTTCTTTCTTGAGCCTGTTCTGCTCTCTCCTTGCAGTTTTATTCAGATTATTCATATTCTAGGCTTCTCCAGACATTTAGGGTCTCCAGTGTACCTTATGTTTCACAGGCACAGCTTCACAAACATGTCCTCTCAGAGCACGCTGACTGGCCATCTACCATAATCTGGGTGGAAGCCTTCTTGACCTTACAACTCTTTCATTTCAAATGTGCCTAAAACAAGAGCCAAGTGGATGGTGGCAAAATCTATTGTCTTCTGGAACTGTAGCCAGTATATCCTCTCTCTTCACTGTAAGGCTCAAATGCTTAGATCACTGAATACTCTGAATCCAGCTCTGAGTAGCAAATTCTCCAGGCTACTGTCATCCTGGTACATGGTGTGCCATGGTTTTCTTCTCAAAGCATCTTTCACTTTTGCAGTTTTGAGGCCACAAAGGGTGGAATCCTTTTGCTTTCAGGCCACTTTTTCTATTCTATTTTTGCTCAGCAATCAAATTCTCTTCTACTCTTGTCTTTGCAATCCATACCTTTACTAGAGCTTTCTTTCTAGATAAATTCACAATCTTTTAAATCATTCTGCTGGGCTCTTTGTTCCTGATTCTCAACACAAATCTGGATACACACCCCCACAAGTAATCAAGCCACCACCTTAACACTAGACTGCCTTAAAATTACTTCTGCAAGATTAATTAGTTTGCTGTCCTTAATGTCAGTCTCAAGCAAACTCTCTGGACTGAAGAAAAATGCACACAAACTTTCTGCCAAGGCATAACATATATCTTCTGGAGTCCAGAAACTAATGCCGTCCTTCTTGCCAGCAGAAACCTCTGGAGCCTGGTCTTTACCATTTCTATTTGATCAGAATCTCTTATACAGTATAGCCTCAGGCATTCCAGCTCTACTTTTTCAGCCAGCATCTCTAAACATTCCCAAAATCTTCTCCCAAGCTATTTCCAAATGCTCCTGAATCACATGCTCAGGCATAGAAACAGTAACTATCCATTTCTATGGTACCAAAATCTGTTTTAGTGCATTTTTCTCATTGCTGAGCCAAAATTCCAACATCCAAAGTTAAATAGGGCAACATTTATTTAATCACACAGTGTGTAGAGGTTTCTGTCCATAATGAGTTTGCTCAAAGTCAAGGAGATACATGGAAGAGGGACTACAGTTCATGGCGACAAAAGACAGACAGAACAACAAAGTAGGAAAGATGAGAGGATTTCTGTCCCTGACATTGTTTGCAGGTTACTCACCCTAGGGTGGGTGTAGCACTCACACCTTTAATCTTAACCAGAATTATCTAAACCAATCAGTGGATTAATTTACTAATCACACACCCTTAATTCCAGCATCACACATTCTAGATTCAACTACTTCTGAAAAATCTCTATCACTGCATGAGGCTTTGGAGGACATCTAGACACAAACCACAACATGCATGTAGTAATTTCCCCAAAAGAACATCACTGTTCTGTATTGCAAGCATGCACTAACAAAACTTAAATTTTAAAAATACACTTTAGACTTTTTAAATATGCTATTGTACATATTAGCCCCATATAGATACTTAGCAATGAAAATGTGGCAAGTCCAAACTCAGATATGCTCCAAATATAACATCCACAGTGAATATGAAACTTAATATGAAAATGAAAAAATTAATTTTTTTCTCTTACATAGTGAATAATAATTGGCTGGACTAGGCTAAATGAAATATAGTTTGAATTATTTTTATACACTCTATTCACTCTCTTAATGTGCTGTTCAGAAATGTAAACTACATTACATATATGGATAACATTTGACTGACATTATATTTCTGTGTACTATGTTGTTCAAGGAAATCACCTTTGACAGAGTGAATAAAAAAGAAACAAATCAATGGCTAGGCACAGGATGACAACACTACAGATAGTGACAAGTGTTAAGATTCTGTTTGTTGAAACAACAGGTGTAATTATGATATTTAGGACACGAGAAGGAAAACAGTTAATAAATGACTAGCGGTTTGGGGCTTTAAAATTGAAAGGTTCAGTTTAATATTTGTTGAGACAAGGAAGACCACAGATAAAAGACATTAAGAACATAGCAGAAACAACTTAGGAAAAAAACAAAGAGAAAAAGGTAAGTATCTTTTAAGCAAGAGGGAGAATTTATTTTCTGGAAGAAGTAAAATGGAGCCTGACTAAGATTGACTGCAATTAGCAAACTGACAATGATTGGTAAACTTGAAAGATAAATTCAAGAGAAAAAAGAAGTGGCAGCCTGATAAGAAGTGATTTAATAGAGAAGCAAAGAGCTTGGGTGTTCTTAAGTGGGAGAACACATACTTAGCAAGACTGAGGCTTTGAGCTTCATTCCAGCACCATGACTCCCTCAAACACCACCAAATCAGCACCTTAAGCAGAAGGTTGAAGTTTAGTTGTATGGCAGGTGTTCAGAATGCATGGGGTCCTGGGTTCAATATGGGGAGGAGGAGGAAAAAAAATAGGAAGTTAAAAATTAGGGAAAAAGCTAGCAAATAAAACGTTCAAGCAGTTACCATTGTATCAAGGAGAAAAAAAATGGGTGGCTGAAGGACCCAGTGGCCCCTGATTTTGTTTTGTTTAAGGTGGGAGGTAGATAACATCATGTTGCGTTGCTGATGAGATGTTTCAATTGGCCATGAAAAGAATGATGATGTAGTATAGAAAAGATTTACCAGAGTAGTGCTAGTGACTAAAACAAGATGATATGAGACCTGATATAGAACATAAATACCCTGCAGATATTTTAAGGATGGTGGACAGTAGAATAGCTGAATGGATGGGCATGTTTAGAAGTTGTGTCAGTCATGCTCTTCAAACAAGTTGGAAGTAAGAAGTATATGTTACTGAGTTAAAATTGTGTTCTTTTATGTTTGCTTCTTCAGTCACAGACACATTCTTTGCAGGCAAGAGCCCCAGCCCCTCATCACGTTTGAGCCATCAGCAGCTGACATTATGCTTGAACTCAATAAGTAATTATTGAAATACTAGGTCTGGCAGTTAAAGCAGAGGGCTAAATTTGCAAAATACTCAATATGCTAGCATTAATGTTCACTTACCTCTTTTAGGAAATCTTAACATCATCCAAAGAAGAATTGCAAGGCCTCCACATAAGAAGACTGCGAGGATTACCATGTTCCTTCTTACTATGAGTAAGGGAAACACAGGTCATTAACTTCTGGAGCAACACAAGCAACACACCAGGGAATGTTTATCCTTCTCCATGTTCTGTGTGTTTTCCCATTTCCAGCCCAGTAATTCATCCCCCAGAAAGTGTTAAGGGTACCAAGCTGTAACTAGCAGCAGCCACAGCCTGCAGAGCACTGTGGCTCCCTGTGGCACCAGCTGTTGGTCGCATTTCCCAGAACCATGCTACTAATTCCTCCACTCAGCTTCTTGGGCCTCATAACCAAAAAGGCTACAATATACAGGTACGGGAATCTGATGGGGAGGAGGAAAGTTACTGAAGACTGCCTTAACTTAAAGCTTTTATGGCGAGCACTGTTTTCTGCTCCTTCCTGCCCTCCAAACGCTGAACGTCCAGATGGGGTTAGGAAAAGGGGCTAAAATCAGAACTGGGGTTTTGGAACAAAAGCCCTCATCCTCCTTAGTCATTTTGAGGATGAGAAAGTGGGAACGGGGTGTGGGGTGGTACTGGGGATCAAACCCAGGGGCCCTCTATCATTAAGCCATATTCTGAGGCCTTTTTATTTTTATTTTGGGACAGGATATGGTTAAGCTGCCCAGGATGGCCTCAGCCTCTGCAGTATAGGCCACGGCCATCACATCCTGCCTTTAGCAAACCTTTACCTAGTCTTTTCCTCCTATTCTCCAGTTCTTCTACCTCCATCTCCAACCTTCACCGAAAAGGCGCTTCTGTGATCACAGAGGCAGGAATTATCCGGGGGATGGATAGAAAACTGCCAGCCACACTGGGTGCCTGTAAACCCTAAGGAACTGCGGAGTAAGTCTCCTTGAAGGGAGGCCTCGCATCAAATCGGAAGTAGCGGCAAATCTGAAGTGGCAGAGAGACCTGCGTGGGCCAAGAACCGTGCTGAGAGCTGCAGGCCTGGCAACAACCGGCAGTGCCCTCCCTCCAACTGCTTGAGCCCACACCAGCAGGGCTCCTGCCGCAGTGCGAGGGCTGAGCTCCTGCGATTGGCTGGTGCCCAAGAACAGGGTCTCGGATTGGTCCATAACCTCCCACCTACTAACTGGTACTGATGGAAGCATAGGGTGGCAGTGCAGTGGCTTTTTTTTTTTTTTTTTTTTTTTTTGGCTTTTTATGGCTTTTTTCTTTTCCATTCTAGGATCTCCCTAAAATCTCAAATCTTATACACGTTTTTACATATAGATCGCCTGTACTGCGGATTGTGAACTTTCCCTATGGTGACCCTTTTCTACATTGGTTTTGTTTTGTTTATAATTTTTATTTAATTTGCTTATAAACTGAGCTCTATCTGGGCATTAGGGAAATGCAGGAAAATGAATCCATTGCTGTTTGTGTATTTTGGTAGTCACTGAGTGAAGCTGTGTCTTCATTTTTCTCAGTGAGGCAGTGCAATAACAATTCTAATACATGCCAAAATGACATGAGGAACTTTCTAATAGTACATGTTTGCTGTGTATAATGTTCTCATTCATTGTGTGAAATTGGTACATGAATGTAACACATTCATGGATTCATTTAACATGGATTCTCTGTATTATTTAAATTTGCAATAGACAGCGATTTTGTTGTTGTTGTTGTTGTTCGGGGGATTAAACTCATAGCTTTGTGCTTGCCAGGCAGTCGCTTATGCCACTGAGCTAAATCCCCAGCCTTTGGACAGCGATTTTGAGTGTTTTTATTGGACATTTTTAGTCTTATGAAGTATTTGTTCATTTTAATTGTTCCATTTTTTGGTTGGGTTTTCTTATTTGAAGGAGTCTATTTTTTAGTTCTTTATTCATTCCAAATATTTGTCCTGTGGTTGAGGAGTAGTTGGCAAAATAATTTTTCTATACTGTGGGTTTTCTTTTCACTTTCACTCTGTTCGTGGTTTTTTTTTTTTTTTTTTTTTTTTTTCTGGGAAGAAACTTTTAAAATTTGTTATGATGCCACTGGCAGATTCTCAGTGCTATTGACTGTGCATTTGTGGTTTAGTTTAGAGGTCCATACCTACGCCTATGATTTCAAAATGTTTACCTGTTTCTTCTAGCAGGTTAAGTGTTTCTTTTTCACATTTGCTTCATTGATCCATTGTGATTTTACTTTATACATGATGAGACGTTGGGATTTAAATTTAATCTTCTAAGGGTTTATACCTGTTTTCACATTATTAACTACAGATGTTATCTTTTCTCAAATGTATGCTTTTGCAAAGATCAAATAGTTGAATGTGATTGAGGTTGTTCTGTATCTTCTATTCTGTCCCATTGATTCTGATGTCTGTTTTTGTGTCAGGACCGTGCTGTTTCTATCATTATGGCTTTGTAATATAACTTCAAGTCTACTATTTTCATGCCTCCTGCTTTACTTGTGTTACTTAGTATTTATTTTGCTCTTCCTGGTCACTTTTTGTTCCATATAAATTTTAGGATTGCTTTATCCAGTTATGTTGTGAAAACTGCTGTTGGCATTTTGACTGGATTCCTTTAAATCTGTACATTGATTTTAGAAGAGACTAACCCCAAATAAAAGACTCAACCAAAATATGGGCAATGAAATGAACCATTTTGCAAAAGAAAAAGTATAAATGACCAATAAAGAAATGTCAAACATCGTTGACCATTAGAGAAACGCAAATTAAAGCAATACTAAGATTACATCATACAGCAGCAAGAATTGTCATCCTCAAGAAATCAAATAATAACAAATGCTAGTGAGGCTATGTGGAAAAAAGAAAACTTCTACATTGCTGATGGGAATAAAAATTAGTATAACTGATCTTTAGATCATAATGGAGACCCTCAAAAAGTTAAATATAGAAGTTACATTTGTCTCAACTGCTCCCCTTCTTGGTATCTTTCTGAAAAAATTAAAGACATTATATTACAGTGACACATGTAAACCTATTTTCATAGCAGCATAGTTGACAATTGCTAAATCTTGGAGGCAGCCTAATATGTTCATCAGCAGATGAACAGATAAAAGAAAATAAGGTATTTACAAAATGGAGTACTATTCTGCCATAATGAATGATAAAGTTGAATCGTTTTTAGGAAAATGGATACAACTTGAGACCACAGCAAGTGAAATGAATCAGACACACAAGCTTAGATGTCACATGGTTTCTCTTACATGATAATCCCAACACATTAAGAAAGAGTAAAAATACAAGATAGATAACAGAAAACAGGGATATACGTTTTTCTCAAAGGAAAAAGAATTGAAGGAGGCATGATGCAGGGAGAGGAGAGGAAGGGAATTTTTAAAAAGAACATGATGTGTGATGTACATGTACCAACTCCATTCAAGAAATGTAAAAATAATGTACTGAAACCATGTACTAGAACAAATTATGAGAAGTAAAAATCACTTCATCATTAACTAACATTCTTTCAATTTGAAGAAAAGAATTAAATGTGGAGACAAAATACACATTCATATTTCTATACACTTAGAGAAAAAACAGAAAAGTAATAATATTAATAAGGCACCAAACTATCAGCAGATGACAGTTAAATAATAAAACAGTTCCTCTGATCTGCAACTTATTACAGTCTAAGACATTGAAGTAAACAGATGATAGCAAGAAAAGATCACCTCATTATAAACTCTCATTCCTAAATTTCAGTTAATGATTGATTATTAAAAGGTCATAGAAAAGAAATAAGCTATCTAACTTATCTTTGAAAATGGTTGATAAGATTGGTCTTACAATATCTTTATATTTCTTTAGCATTTGTAGCTAAAATACATTCTCAAGAAGCCTTTCCAGTATTCAAAAAGTCACAGAGCTACAGATGTGCTAAATGGAGAAGGTAGGATAGATACAAATGCATGGGATTGATTCACATTATACAGAACACTTATTTTAATATAGCTTTTATGGCTATAAATAAATGAAAATACGGTGTCTTTAAATGGAAAGTTTAAGTCCAAGGACTAAATTTAAAGTGTTTTTTCTATTTATGTGCCATGTACATGATGGTGATACATAAAGAGCCTAAATATAGGATTCATTTTTCTTTCCTTTGACCTAAAAAGAAGAAACAATAAATTTGGATAGTGTCACAGGCAAGACAAAGGATATCATAGTAACAATGAAAACCATTCACATAAACCCAATAAAACTATGTTCTTCTTGCAAAACACAAACATATTCCTTGTCCAAACAGTAGTACATGATTAAAGGTAATTTTTTGTTAACTAAAACATTTCAAATGTTGCAAGATAGTGACATATCTTCTGTTCAGACTTTCAGCTTTTTACATATTAAGGAGTATATGATTAAGGCTTCATGCTTCTCTCTCTGTGAGAAAGGAAACCACTTCTTCCAATTATGCAATGGTCAGAAGTGGAGAACATACCGAAGAGAAAAAAAAAAAAAGATGATCCCAGAACCTCACATCAATACAAATGGGCTTATTTTCTAGGCTAGACAAAGTTGAATCTCAGCCAACAAGAATATACCTGGATCTTCTCAAAAGCTATCAGCACATCAAACTGCAATTATGAAATAGGCTGGATACCAGTGGCCAATAAGAAAAACTCATCTAGCTTTCTTAATAGCTTTGTTTATTCTGTAGTTTGTGGAAAGCCTGCCAGTAAGATAGATAATGTGACTGCAGCTACGGAGTCATTCCTTTCCATTCATCTGAACCTGAGCAATGCCCTAGGATTAAGGCCCCTACATCTTATTCTAAAACTTATTACTGGAAGGCAGATATAAGAAAAGCCAAGACCTTTAAGCTTCCTGTTTTGAAAAATTCCAAAATTCCAAACCAGGATACATGTTCACCAGACCTGACAGAACTGCCTACAATAACCTTATAAGCTCATGCTTATGGACTGCACCTTCTATATCCAATTATAATAGTAAATTATGAGAAAGAACATACACAACAGCTGCAGCTGACATGATTCAGCACACTGTCAGTTATGTGGTCAGTAATGCTGTGGAAGTCCCCAATTGAAGGCACCCCAGAACACTCACATTTCAAATCCTTGTATCTTATAACCTCAGTGGTTATGCCATTTTCTTTTCCTAGGCAAGAGCCAACTCACTTGGAGCATACTATCACCTTAACAAACTTTCCTACTTTCTACTTATCATCACATGCCACATCCAATTCTTTGTTCTTCAAGCACAAGAAATAGGAACCTGTCCCAGAACTCATCAGCCATGGTAACAATAGGGTCACATGGTAGTCAAGATGGTAGTTACATCCAACATGGCCACAGTCATATCAAACTAGATCCCTGTGACAGCCCAAACCTTTTTTTTCTGATTTTGCATAAAAAGCAATCCAATTTGGGGCTGGTTCCTGAACATTTGCCTCTGGGCTGTTTGTTCAGAAAGCTGATAGTGAAATCATTTATACAAACATTGTCAAATACCCAGGATGGGTTATCAAGGATCACTGTAGATTCTGTAAAACTTAAAGTGTTCCAGTCCTCTCCTCAGTTACTCCAATTATATCGATTTGAGACAATGGCCCAGAAATTTGTCCTGTTAGTAGGTTATCCATGAAAATCTGTGGTGATTTTATTAAAAATTTAAAGACCAAAAATAAAATTTCCCAACAGACACTTCTGACCAGTGTGTACTGATTTGGATTATATACTTTTTAAAAATTCACTAAAACTTACAGAATTTCTGATTTCAAGCCTGTATGTGAAAGAAAGAAGCTGTATAAAAGCAGATTAAAAAGTGACTGCATTTTAACTATTAGGAAAATGAACTTAGTTCACAGAATGTTCTCCACTGTAGTGTCTGATGCCTTCTGAACCAGTGGTATTTATTCAGGTCTAAGTTTATTCGTAGGATCTTAGACCAATGTTTATTCTATGGCTTTTATTGTATCTCATATCTCAGAATGATCTCATTGAATTTACTCTCTCTCTCAAATAAAATTTCTTTTCTTGGTTTATTATTAAACATTTCCACATAGAGTAGGGAAAGATATAAATATTAACAGCTAGATCTGATAGAAATCACAGAATGGAACAAGGTCTAGGAAAACTCTGTTGTGAAGATTGCTGGACCACGTAGAACTTTGAAAGATCTCAAGCTAAGAGATTTCGTAGCTGGGGCAATAGCACTGTATGAGGTGATTTGAAAATATTTTTGTTAATGTTTGTCTGAACCACTGTACACCAACATGAAGAACATTACCTTTGTCATATAGCTGATTTGAGAAATGAGAGATTATAATGCATACAAAAAAGGGTTTAGAATGTTGCCTGTTGCATAGTAACCTTTTTAAAAATTGGCTATTTCATTGATTAATCATTATTGCTCCTGTGGTAGCATCAAAATATATTTTAGTCTGCAATCTTAGTTGGTGTCATGTTGGCTCCAGTCCTATTCCCAGATCTTTCTGGGCTACGTGGTATTACCAATCCAGAACATGAGGACACGAAACATCAGCACACACTGGTCAGAAGTGTCTTCTGGGAAGTTTTCTTTTTGGTCTTTAAATTTTTAATAAAATCACATGAAATATCTTCAAGACAAAGCACAGTTTAACTTACGAGTTATTTGTGATTATATGGAACTGTTTAAAAATATATTCCAATATGGAACAAAATGAAAATAAAACAAATATATTTCAACTAACAAAAAAAAAAGCGAAGCTCAGATCACTGGTCCTGTCCACCTCCAATATAATACAGGAAGACTAAGGGAAGAGGGGTTGGCTAAATTTGGTAAAAGCTCTTACACCCATGCACTAATGTACATATACATATATAGCCATTCTAGAGTCACTGTATTATCCACTCTAGGGTCACTATATTCATCATATGTGTACAATAGATATCCATACACACCCTTACAAACTCTAAGCTAACCATGGTAAGACACCCCTTGCCAATCCATCATCCAGCTCAAAGATAAGACCCTAAAAACTGGTTCAAAGATTAGTAAACAGACAAATGGAAAGAAACTGAACCAAGACCACCAGCCTATAAACGATACTAAGCAGGGGATCTCAGAAGCCAATCTAGTTTTTTGGCAAGTTCCAAGAGGGGGCAGAATGTCCCTAACTCCCTAGAACAGAGGCCAGGGACAAAGGCCAACAGGTAACCACATTTCTGTTTTCCCCTTGCTCTGGTTCCTATTAGAGCAGCCATCTATCCTCTCCTTTTCACTCCTTTCCAATGAAACTTTTCCTTTCCTTAAACTTTGTGTCTTGAATGCTTCACTGATGGTGAAGCTTATGATCCCAATAAAGTGCTTGCCACAGGAGCCTCAGTCCACACAGGGACACACAACAATGATCTAGAAGTATGACTTAAACAAATCCACACTGTCTAGCTGGCTGCCTGCACAGGCCCCCAGCCTGTACTTCTGCCTCCCTGACAGGTGGGGTCTTTTCCCAAGGCCTTCTTAAAGTAGCTACAGAAGAAAAGAAGCAATTTAGCAGGACTCATTGTATAAATGAGTGATATCTAATTATTTATGACTTTAAAAAGTGTAAATGCAATTTTTCAAATGTTATGTATATACATATGATTTAAATATGTTAATTAAGATTTTTAAAGTGGTAGATATACTTTATTTAATTCATGAAAGATCCTGGCCATAACATCTAATTGACAGGTCCTCAAACCAATTCACTATGAACAAATCTATTAAATTGTGTTCTTAGGCAAACCCTATCCTTCAGGATTGTTATGGTGGACAACGCAATAACTAAGTGACTGAATACACAGTCCCTAAAGCATTCAGTTTGTCATTTTTGAGTTGATTATGATTTTGGGCAAGTCGTTTAATTTCTCATTATATAATTAATTTACTTAACTAAGTTCTCTAAGTTAACAACACTTTTATCTTTAAAAATGGGTATACAACAGTGTTTTTTTCAAGAGTTTCTGTTTATAAAGAACTTTGAACATATGTTCAATTTATATATATATATATACATATATATATACATTATAAATGTTAAATAAAAGAATAAATTTTTATAGGTAAAGTTCAGTGCCTTGTCATGATTATATTACAGAGATGAAGTTAGTTACTCTTCTTTATGATGTTTGTTACTGAAATTCTTTGTAGGCTCTGCTTCTTTTTTGTATTTAGATTTATAATTAACTGTTCACATTTATTTTCTAAGAACTCTATGCAAAACTTGGTCTTCCAACCCAAATAGTTAGAGACTTACTAGGAGAGGGAATTGATTCATCTTCCCACAGCCAGCTCCTGTCAGAAGGGTGCCATGAAAATCCCAGCCAAAAGTAAGAAGACATGGTTAATGGCTATGACTTAAGGAAAATCTTTGGGAGAAAACAGAATAAAAATTTTATTAACCAATTATACTTCCGTTTGCAAAGGTAAGACAGAAACATTCATAAAATTCCTTAATTTTCATTCAAAATCCAGTGAATTACGGTCACGTGGATGCCATTTTATTACTTTCCACCGTGTAGATTATTAAAGTAAGCAGGAAGGAGATTCAGTCATACCTTTTCTTGATCTTCACCAAAGTAAAGTTCTTGTCTCTGCAGTCATTTCTACTGTTACTCCATGTTTTATCTTCATTTATAGTGAAATAACAGCAACCGTTTTGGTACCATTGCCAGGTCTTAGGATAAGTATTACATTTGTGTTCTGAAAAAGAAATTATACTCAACAGTATAAATTTAGTGACTCTCAGGTAACTGGGGAAATGTTAAAAACTATGCATAAATCATTTAATTGTACAATAGGATCTGAGAGCCAAAATCCTAAAAATGTGTTTTTTTAATGAGTTTTTGAAGGCAAAAGTATCCCTGGTTATGGGTTAGAGTCATGTGGATTATCTTTTCAGAATTCAGTCTTCTGATCTCAGAATTACCAGCTATGCTTTTAACTTCATAAGCCTATACGAATAGGCTTATGAGGCAGAGTTAATAAAATGAGAGGTTGAAGAATCTAGATTGGTATTATTCTAAGGTGGTATCCAAATTTGGCTCTGTGCTTTTGGTAATAATATTTATAAATCTGTATTTTCCTTTATCTACTATAAACAATGTGACATCATCTAGAGGGTGCTGGATGACACAACTCTCATACCTCAAAGTAACTGTTATAGTCAGGGGTTACAAGGAGAACCACTACAAACAGGACACACAATTTATAATGGTCACCCAAGGAGTTAAATATAAAGAAAGTGCGGGAAAATTGTACACAACACTAAAGACCTAGAAAATCCAGTGAAAGGCCTGGATCTCATGGCAATAACTTGCATGAGTTCAGCTGAAAACCTAGAACCCATGACATTGCCTCCCATGAGTCCAACTGGAGGCTTAGAGCCCATGACAATGACTCATGTAAGTCTGTTTCACAGATCTGCACTGGGAAAGTTCAAAGGTCAGTGGTGGAAGTTAGAAAGTCTAAGCCAGCAGGGTGAAGGATTTGTGCTAGTAGGTTGAGAGTTCTGCACTAGAGCAAGGAATTGATACTCAAAATAAGGACCAGTGGCTCTTCCAAAAAGTACCACAGCCATCCTTAGCTACAACAAGGTCCCAGCCTCCTCAGAAATGGAAACAGTGAAGTTTGTATCATGAAGCCCACATGACAAACTTGTCCCAAAGATTGAACAGCACACCATCTTCCCCTCCATGGCCATGAAATGATGCTTAGTGTAAGGACCAAAGCTCCCTCAAAGTAAACTGCAGCCTTTTCCAACAATGAGGTCCTAAGCTCCTCCAATGTAATAGCCACGTTCATATCAGGGGAGCCATCATGATAAGCTCCTCCAAGAGAACCAACAGCTCCAAACAATAACAACACTTGTGAGAACCCACAACACTACTCTTTTCCTCTCCACTTCTCCTCTTTGTGCTGGCAACAATCCTCAAGTGAACCCTTTATACACAGCACCACACTGATTCAGTTCAGCTGGTATTTAAGTGGACCAGCCGATTTTTAAATGCAACATAGTATCTTAAGTCAGTGCATAGTCTGAGTAGCTTAAATCAGTGCATAATCTGAGTAGTTAGGCGACCTAAGTCTAATTATCTGAAGTGTGAATAATTAGCTGTTTGAAGAGTTTGATGGCCACTTGCTCTTGCCTCTTCAGTAGATTAGATACCTATGATTGAAGAAATTCCATTTCCCTAGGAATGATCCTATAATTGGCCAATGGGCAGGATAAATTATCCTGCTGGTGGTGAACAATTTTTGGAAGCTGACTCAAGTTCTCTGTATCTGAATTTATTTCACTACACATCAGAAGAACTCCAAAACAGAACAGGAGAACAGTTCATAATACTCTTCTTTTCTCAAACAGTCATCAGTTATTCTCCTGACACAGAAATATTTCTTAGATTGTTTAATATTTATTAGTGACTCAATATGTGAGATACTAACTAAAATCGAAGGAAACGTACCAAATGCCTATTTTGAATTATGTATAGTTCATCTTTAGACTTCTTGTTCTTTATATTGGTGAATTTTTAAAGTTGGAAGTGTTGATATAATTATAGTAAGAACAGAATTCTTTGGGACAAAGAACAGTCTGCAGTCTACCTGGAAAAATTTTTTAAAAAAGATTTTAAAGGTATATTGGATCATTTTTAGTTCAAAGTTCATAAATCTTCATTTTTGTTGAAGCACAACAAATTTATGAACACTTAGGTCAAAGGCACAGAATACTAGGAAAGAACTTCACCCTTTCATAGTAAACCATTGAACATATATCATTGTATCTCTTTATTTTTACTTACTTATTTATTTTTGTGACATTAGGAAATGAACCTCGGGTCTTCACACCGAGCTACATTCCCAGCCCTTTTCTACTTTTTTCTTTTTTGTTTTGAGACAAAGTGTTTTTAACTCACTAAGTTGTACAAGCTAGACTTGAGCTTGTCATCTCTCTGCTTCAGCTTCCCCAAGTGCTACCATGTCCAGCTTCATGCATTTTTAGTTTGCATTACCATAAAATATTTATTGCCAATTCTCATCATGTTGGGCTCCTGGACACTTGTCATCTCAGCTAGAGCATCATTTTTTCCCCAAAAGAACAAACTGTATATAAACTTCTGTATACACAAAGAGACCTGTTCAAATGTTAATTTACTGTGAGATCTTACATATACAAAAAGAAAGTATTGTACTAGAGGAGATGCTAATACCATTTGACAAACATTTTGACTGCAAGTCCCCTGAAAGTGAATTCTGTGCTAAATCACCACATTTTATGCCAACATTCTATAAAATATGCATTTTCAGAATGTTTCGCTACTTACATTCAAAATGTCAGTCTAGAATTCTCATTCTGAGAGCCCCAAGGAAGGGTCAAGAAAATATCTCTTTTTGTGTCAGGCACTGGGAAGTGGAACTTCTAATGTTATGCAGAGATAGTTCAGTTCTCTTTACCTTGGATTTGACATGTCAGGGCCCTCTTTGTCCTTGTTTTGGTGCTGTTCTTCTTCATACAAGTCAGATTGTTGCGGCTACTCAGAAATATCTTTATACTGGAAATTCCAGATTAAGTTATTCTTACGTTAAGTCTCTGAGGCAAGTGAAATGGCATGCTTTACTTTAAATATATCTCCTTTGATTCCTTGATTGTCACCATTGGAATAATAGGTGAGCATGCACCTAGACAGATAAAAGCTCCTTCTCCTAAGTATTAAGTAGTAAAGTTAGAGTCTTCTTTGTAACCCTACTTTTGTTATTAAGAGAAGACAACAAATTTGGAATAGAATCCTCATAATCATAAAATAAGTCCCTTACTGTACATAAAAATTGATATAAGGTTGAAGAAGTATATTAGAAGATTTGGAATTTTGACATGTTTGTAATCTTGGCTATATTTACATGATTTACAAATATGCTAATCACTTTCCTTTCTGTTGCAAATACATTTACACATAACCTCCAAAGTCAGAGCCCACTCAGCAGCACCAGGCAAAGAGTTAGCAGACGGAGAGCAACCTGACGCCAAACGGGATGCAGCTGAATTCCCTGGAAAATCAACAGAGGAATGAGTAAAGAAAACTGCCATGGAGCCAGTACACTTTGGGTGGTTTATTTCTCACACTTAGAAAGTATCTGGTTATTAAAACTTCTCTAATTTCTTCAGTGCTACTCTTTAGATAATTCCTGATATGAAGTGTGAGACAGACCCAATCACCCATTCTCCTCCATTTGTCTGTTACTGTTCTTTTTTGAACAGTAATTTTCTCTAAACTTTTAGTCTTTTTTCATCATCACCTCCACTCTTTTTTTAAGTCAGTGACTTCATAATGATATGCCATGAAAACTACTTCTCTGGATGATGCCAATAATAAGTAACAATTCAACTTCTTAAGATTACAAAATTCCAAGATGCAGGTTGCTCTACCTGCCTTATAAAAGTGGATTCTACTTTTAAAAGTAACTTTTACGTTCTACAAACAACTGTTGTCTATTATTTATGCTATTTTGCACCAAATAAATGAATTAATTCTGAACAAAATAATGTACATTCTAACCTACAAATAAGTAGTATAGACCAGAAAGTCAGTAGATAATTATATATATATATATAACATATATGTTTATGCATATATCATACATGTTTATATCACATTTATCCCTATTTTTCTATTACTTGAGTCAAGTCCTGGTTGTATTTAGCCCAATGTTTTGATTAATACAATGTCCAAGTGTTGTGTCACATATAGCATATTCACATTCCTCTTTTCCTCAGGGAAGCTAGAATTTAAAAACAAAACAAGCCTCAAGTGCATAGTCACCTTTATTAGACCTGTGCAAAATTTGTTCTACCATATTTTTATGTACCTTCCCCCACCAAATTCTTCCCACCATGGAGATTCATAAACAAACAAATAAAATAAATGCAAATAGTTGAAGAAAGTCATTCCTATAATTCAGATGATTCAGACAGCAGCCTCCTTAAGCTAAGGGATGTACACATATACACTGAACTGATATTCAATCCACCCAGCCACAGTGACTAGCATTTACGCTGCTTGAATATAAGGAAATGAGCTGAAGCTGGGCTGAAGCTGGGCTCCGCCACTCGTTCACTGCTAAACCTTGGTTAAATCACTTAGTTTCTTTCAGCCTCAGTTTTTTCATCTATGTATTGGAGTGTCTTAGTTACTTTTTACTCATTGCTCAGACAAAATACCTGAAGCCCAAAGTTGGCATAGGAAAGGTTTATTTCTTACAGTTTTTGGAGGTTTCAGTCTATATTCAGTTGGCTCCAAGGTAGGGTGGCATGGTAGAGCCACAGGTCATGGGGGCTGCAAACAGCAAGGCAGAAACCAGCAAAAGAACAAGACACACCTTCCTCCTGCCGTTACATTACATCCTGGTTCCACCCCTAAGTGGGTGGAGCACTGACACCATCAATCCAAGCACTAGACAATGAACCAATCACAAATGCACAATGCAAACTCATGAGGCCTGGGGGTCTTAGACATAAACCATGACATGGAGAAAATACCAATATTATTTTATTTGCTTCACATTTATATTTTGATAAAGATGTGATGAAATATGTATATAAAATACTATACAGGTACTGTTTTTATTGATTCAACATAACAAATTATGCTTTGGATTTCAACTATCTTGACTAAAAATAATACCTAAAGACATTAGCTTTTGTCTGTTTCTGATTGCTATATCCTCCAGCTTTTCCCGTCAGTTATTCAATCCATCTAACAGAAAAAAAAATCCTCTACTTCCCTATTTTAAAACCTCCAATCTGACTTCTAAATGAATATTCCTCTAGCATTTCCTACAAGGAATAGCCAAATGTTATTTATAAGTAGAAATATATTGGTTCCCAAACTGAATCTCTGATATATCCCACAAAGTTTTTCATTGCAATGTTAAGCTTCATGAAGCATGTTGATTTCACATAATTAAAAGAGATCCTGAAAGCCACACATTTTCCCTTCAACATTGGATACATTCACCGTGCCATCTACTTCACAATGATTTGTTCCCATTTCTGAGACTCTACTGCATATATCTCTTTAGCATCAGGGTCAAAGTCAGTGATTCAAAGCCAAAACACCTGTTGCTTACAAATTCACAACTTGTTTTATCTGAATTCCTACCTCTTTTTTTTTTTTAGGTTATTTCTGTCCTGGTTATTTCTTGCTCTAGAAGAATCCTGAAATGCAAGTGTTGCATAGGTCACTTTGTGGGACATTGTAGAAGAAGCACTACTACAAACTGCGTAAATAATATTTCAGTATCTTCAAGCCTGGGAGAGGGTGTTCTTTTCAAGACTAGGAGTGTTTACGTAGACCTTCAACTGACACAAGACACATCCCACTGCCCTTCTGAAAGTACAGAATGATAGTATCTTGGCACTAAAAGCAAGAGAAGTGCAATACTTTTTTGAGGAATTAGAATGCTGCAGATCCCAAACTACACCCACATTGTTCCTGGATATGAGGCCCAGGGGCACTTAGAGGTACAGCAACAATTTTGGTTTCATAGGGATTTCCCATGACCCTATGCTGCTCTGAATATTCAAAGAGTCAAGTTGAGAAGGACATGGAGGTGAATGGGTGTAATACCAGCACTCTGAGAGGCTGAGGTAAGAGGATCTTAAATTCAAGCCCAGCCCAGGTAATTTAATGACTTAGTGGGACCCTATCTCAAAATGTTGATGTAGCTTAGTGAGAAAGCCCTGTGCTCAATCCTCTCTCTGTCTCTCTCTCTCTCTCTCTCTCTCTCTCTCTCTCTCTCTCTCTGTCTCTCTGTCTCTCTCTCTCTCTGTCTCTCTCTCCTATGTCTCTCTCTCTGCAAATACATATACAGAAATATACAGAATTATCTAATTCTCTATAGAGACAATAGCTGTAGTTTGTTCTCAATCACATCAGGTATCAAGTAGAGATAAGACAGAAAGGACTGAGTGGCTCAAGTCTGGTTGCTGCCATATGTAATACAAATGTGTATGTGTGGGTAATGGTGAGAGTGACTGGGAGTGGAGAAGGGATTAATAACTGTTAACAATGGATATACATGGAAGTTCTCTTTTGCCAGGGATGACTAAGTACCTAGAAGAATAATCCTCCTTCAGATAATTAATTCTCCATGAGAAGAGTTTTTAACTAACTACCTAAAGTTTCAGCAGAGTAAAAAAGTAGATAGATCCTCAAAAACATGAGACATATGTGTAAGGTGTTTCTGTTTTTACTTTTAATTTGTTTAGTTTCTTAAATATGAAGGTAACCTGTAGTCATCATGTAGCAGAGCAACTGAAACTCTAACAGGAAATGCATCTTTCAGGCTGGATGACTCAGAAGGTAGACTTTGAGGTTATCACAGCCACAAACAGTACTGGACTAATTGGATTACCATGCAGAACACTGGATGTGGAAGATCATATGAGGCTCATTAGGCCTTCAATCCTCTGTAATTTATTATATTTCATTTTTAGTTGTGATTTTTATTAGTACATGCTTGTGTTAGATAATGAGTATATTCCTTGTGAAGATTAGGTACATAACTCATCTCAATCTTTTCTCATTCTTTTTTATTCCTTTTATATCAAGCAAGCAATATTTAAGCTTATGTTTAATTTATTTCACTTAATACTATAATCCCATTTATTACATTTAATTTTCTACAAATTATTCACTTATCTTCCTTTAAGAAGTAATATTACATTTTGTATAACTACTGCATTTTATTTTTCCATGTATCTGTTGATGGACAGTTAAGCCACTTCTGTTGAACAGAAGCCATCTGTTGATGGATATATAAGCCACTTTTAAGATTTAGCTATTATAAATTGTGCTTCTGTAAATATGAGTATGCATGTATCATATAACATGATACCTTGGGAAATACATTTTGGAGGGAACATAACTTAGTCAAATTGGATTTCAAATATTAGTTTTTTAGGATCTCCTTACAGATTTCCAAATAATTGTATTAGATTACCTTGTCTTAAATTGTGTAAAAGGGTATTTTTCTCTATAGCCTTGGAAATATTTGTTTTGATGTAATTTCTTGATGATAACCATGCTTTCTGGAGTAAGATGGATTGTATGCTGCTTTAACTTGCATTTCTCTAATAGCCAATAATGTTAATAACATGGAACATTTTTTCATGTATTTATTGGCCATTTGTACTTCTTCTTTTAATCTATTTCAATCGTCCAATTTTAACTGGGTCTTTTATTTTGGGAGCTGTAAACTTTTGGTTTATTTATGTATTTTAAATATTAGTCTTCTGTCTAAGGAATGGCTGGTGATTTTTTCCTCTTCTGCAGATTGTCTCTTCTCTCTGTTTATTGTCTATTATTGTTTGTTACTGTTTATTGTTGTTTGTTGTTGTTCCTTTGCACAGAAACTTTTAATTTAATGTTATTCCGTTTGTTGGCTCTTTTTTTTTTTTTATTTTAAAGAGAATAAAACCAAGCCAAACGAAACAGAATAGAGTCAATCAAAACAAAACAACGTGATACAGGACTTCAAAACAAGATAAAAGGAAATCAACAATTGCTAATTTAATGACTCTTGTTATCTTCAAATAGCTGCCTGTACCATCAGATATAATAAAATCAACCAAAACAAAACAAAGAAAGTAATACAGGACTTCAAAACAAAACAATAGGAAATCAATAATGGATATCATAATATATTTTGTTATCTTTGAAATAGCCGTCCAGGCTTTTGTTGTTTGCAGTGGCCATCAATGGCTGTCCCGCCATGCCACGCTGCCTTGGAGCCAACTGAGTACTGACTGAAATCTCCAAGAACTGTCTGAAAAAAGCATGTGAGTTTTATCAGGGGCGCACAATTAGAATTTGCCTTGAGCTTCAGAGAAGACATTGGACTTAGAGTTTTCAGTATTACTGAAACTGACCACCTTGCGGGACCTGGGAACTCCAGCCAGAGGTGGGCACAGTGCTGGCCTAGACCCAGAACCCTCCTGCAACTCCCGCTGTCTCCACAGATCATCTTGTGGGACCTGGAAACTCCAGCCAGAGGCGCGCACAGCTCCTCTTGTGACTCCCGCTGTCTCTGCAGACCATCTTGTGAACCTGAGAACTCCAGCCAGAGGCACCTACTGGAAACTCCAGCCAGAGGTGCACACAAGGCTGGGCCTGAACTAGGCCCTTCCCATGTCCCACTGCCCTGGCTACCCACCTCAGGATCTAGGAACTCCAATCCATGACGCATGCCCCTGCAGTCCCACTGATGCCATCAGACCCCCCCACCACCACCTCCTGGATCTTTCATTGCTGTTGACCTTCGGCTTCCACACCTCCATCCAGGACCTTGGACTGCAGTGGATTAACCATGCAGTATCAAGGGGAGACTCAGTAAGAACAATTCAGCAGGCTTTATCAGTGAGGTGAGTTTGCACTAAAATAGGAATAGAGTTTGCCACCTTCAATGGATAAACAGGAACAACAGAGAAGCCCCCTCCAGAAGTAGACCATAGGCAAGCTTGGCAAGTGGGTGGGTGAGTCCTTCCTCCACACAGAATATCAGGTAGATTGAGCAGGGTGCCATCAAGGCCTCCCCCAACCTGGAGAAAATTAAGGGGGCCTATGGGACACCCAGAGACACAGTAAGGTCCAAGACAAGACAAATACTATAAACAGGGAGATCTGGTGACTCTGAACAACCTGAAGACATGATAACAGCAGGAAGTAGGAGTTGATTTCCATCAGTACCCCTAGGCTAGTAAGCCTAAGAAGAAAATGGGACTTACCCAACAGCCCCCACAGAGGGAATTCAGGTGACTGGCCCACCTCTTTACTGTGGGACCCAACAATTGGACAACATCAACCTTACAATAGGATACCAAGATACCACTACCAACAGTTGACACAAGTGGAACTGAAGGACCAAATATAAACCCAAAAGGGTAAAATGGCAAAATGAAAAAGCAAAGTGCCATCTCAAACATCTAGTCCACCAGCAACAAGTACAGGAGACACTGACAGAGGACTTCAAAAGTAACATACCAGAAATCTCTGAAAAGATAGCTAGTGAAATTTAAAAAAGAATATGTCCATGAAGCTATAGAAGAAATCAAATTAGAAGTAATCTCTCATGTAAAAACAGAAATAAAAACTTAGTAAAGGAGTTGCTCAGTGCAGCTAGAGAAGATATAGATTTTTTTTTAAAAGTATAGGAGCATGGGAAACTGATTGAAACCTTGAATGAACTATATAGAAAACAAGCAGGATTCATGAAACACTCTAAGAGATATCCATGAAACAAAAAATTCTACTGTAGGCTGACAAAACTGTTTAAATGAAGCTGAGGACAGAATTTCAGACCTTAAAGACAGGATCATAATTAGTGATCAAGAAAGGATAGAACTTTTAAAGATAATGAAGCAGCATGAACTGACAACCCAGAAGCTCCAAGATGATTCCAAGAGAAACAATATAAGGTTAATAGGCAAGCAAGCAGATTGCCTCCCTGATAAGTGGTGCACAGCATAGAGTCAAACATCCTACTTCCCCTACCTCCCTTCCCCTGCCACGCCCCCACCCCGTTAGCAATGGGAACCAGAAATCTGAGCATCTCTTATAAGGTTGACCATAGCAAATAAAGGAGATTTCCTTCTACCATCTCTTTAAAGGCAAATATTTTTGTTACTGTTTTGCTTTATTCTGATTAATGGTACTGCTCTATCTAATATTCTGTTTTGGTAAGTTCTATAATATTCCATATTTCATTTTGTTTTGATATACATGATTGAAATAACAGCTATTGTAAAGATAATGTAATATATTCTGTTACCTATTACTGTTATCCTGGTAACCTGCTGTGAAGTTCTGTACCAATTTCACTACACGGTCTCAGTTGGCTTTATTTTCTGTTGTTCTGCTGTATTTTACTACTTTCAAAATAAAATAAATTCAAAAAACTAGGCATTAGTGAAGATGCAGGAGTCAATACAAATGACATAACTAAAATATTCACAGAAATAATTGTAGAAAATTTCCCAAACATAAAAAAATATCTGATATGCAGATAAGTGAGGCATATACAACACCAAACAATCACAACCAACATAAATCTACACCCAGACATACAATAATTAAGATCCCAGACATGTAGCATAAAATCAGAATGCTAAAAGCTGTTAGAGAAAAGATACAACTCATTATTAGAGTCACGACAGACTTTTCAGCAGAGACTTTCAGATCAAGATGAGCTTGGAGT